TAATCCTGATACATGCTAGTTTTTAATGCACTAAAATTCCCTATTGGACTACACTGAGCGTCCGCTTGCCGGTCCGGGTGATCAGTCCGGCCGGGGATGTTTCACTAGAACTACCTTCCCTTTTGTGTAAGGGCTTGTGGGTTTACTCAAAAGTGGAACTTCATTAAGTTCCTTGCATTCCACGTTCTCGAGATCTGTCTTCCTTTGGTTGTCTCCAGAGAGTACGACCCATTACGGTGTGCCTCCGCCACCTTGTACGGTCCTTCCCACGTCCTGTCTTTGACTCGCTGGTTATAATACCCTTCTGCTATTTTTTTTTGTATGCGGCCTGGCGTATGCTCCAGCGTTCTCGCCGTTCCACCAAGAGGTCTAAATTCTCCCTTAGGCTCCTGTCATTTGTTTTCTCTTGACAGTACTCCGTTCGTATCGACCCTATCATCATTTCCACTGGAAGCATCGCCTTATATCTGTAGGCCAGGCTGAACGACGTTTCTTTCGTGCTGCTTCGTGGCCTGGTTCGATACGACCTGAGGACTTCCGCTAACTTATCCACCCAATTTCCTTTTGCTTTGCCTATTCATTTTTTGATTCCATGTACCAGCATCCTATTAGACACCTCTATATATCCATTGGCTTGGGGGTGTGCTTCCTACGTGAACCTTTGCTCTATTCCCCTCTCTGTGCACCAGTTCCTGAAGGGGTTCTCGACGAATTGCAGCCCGTTATCGCTGAACAAGACTTTGGGTGTTCCAAACCTTGTTATGATGTTTTTCCACATGAACTTAATCATTTGTTTTCCAGTGATACATACCAATGGCTCGACTTCTATCCATTTCGTGAAATAATCGACTGCCACGACAAATAACTTTACTTTCCCTGGTGCCTCTGGGAAAGGGCGGACCATGTCAATTCCGCATTGGAAAAAGGGTCATGGGCTAACTATACTTGTCAACTTGGTCGGGGGTACGCCTTGTACCAGTGAAAAATTCTGGCACTCCATGCATGTTCGAGTTAGTTTGATGGCATCCTGGTGTATGTACGGCCAGTAAAACCCCATGCGTAGTATCTTGCTTGTGAGTGCCCTTGCCCCCTCATGGGCTCCGGCTGATCTTGCATGGGCTTCTTGGAGAGCCTTTCTTCCTAATTCGTTGTCTACGCAATTGAGCCACGGGGTTGCATGACCTTTCCTATATAACGCTCCCCCCGGGATCGCGTACTTGGGAGCCCGTATCCTTGTTTTTCATGCATCCCCGTGGTCGTTCGGAAGTATGCCATGTTGTAAGTAATCTATAATGGATGTCATCCAGCTAGGTCGTGTCGTGAATAGGTAATCGAGTTGGCGCTCGTCGATGCTCCTTACCTTTAGCACTTCCATTAAGACTTCCTTAGATAGATGGCCAAAACATGTTGATGCGAGTTTGCTGAGGGCGTCTGCTCTTCTATTACTTCCCCTTGGGATCTGCTTTATGGCGAAACTCTTAAGTGAGCTCTTGATTCGTTGGACTGCTTTGACATACTTCTCCATTCGTTTATCCTTTGTTTCGAATTCTCCAGTGACTTGGTTGGCTGCCAGGCATGAGTTGGTTAAGGCTACGATCCTTTCCGCCTCCATTTTTACTGCCAACCTCAGACCGGCTAATAGGGCTTCATATTCAGCTTCATTGTTGGAGGTGTAAAAGTCGAATCGTAGGGCATACGTGATTTCTTCACCTGTGGGGCTGGTTAGGATCAAACCCGCGTCTGAGCCTTCCTTGCTAGAAGCTCCATCCGTGTAGAGCGTCCACTGCTGATCATTTTTCCCTTCCGGGTGCCTTCGTTGGGTGGTACCCATCATTTCTTGCTAGAGCTCCCCCGGGATCTCCAACATGCCAGTGCCTGTCCTTTAATGTTCACCCTGGGGTGGTAGCTGATGTCGTGTTCCCCTAGTTCCTTGGCTCATTTTGCAAGGCATCCGGATATTTCTGGTTTTAAGAGTACCTGCTTGATTGGGCAGTTGGTCAACACCTCTATCTGGCGGGCTTGAAAATACCGACGAAGCCGCCATGCCGCGTAAATTAAGGCAAGTACCAGCTTCTCGATAATTGGGTAATTAATTTCTGGCCCCTGTAGGGACCGACTCATGAAATATACTAGGAGCTGTCTTCCTTGCCTTTCGACTACCAGCACTGATGAGATAGAGCCTTTTGATGCGGATAGATAGACCTGCAGCATGTCGCCCGGTACCGAGTTGGCTAGCGTGTGGAGCATGTGCAATGCCTCTTTTATCTTCTATAGCGTGGATTCAGCTTCCGGTGTCGATCGAAAGTTATTCTTCTCTATGCACCCCTTGAGTGTGTGAAATAGAGGCATGGCCTTCTCGGCTGATTTGGAGATGAAACGATTGAGCACTGTTAGTTTACCGTTCAACCCTTGGGCGTCCCTTAGTGTGTTCGGCAAGGGTGACTCTTCAAGCTCACTGATTTTGGTTGGACTTGGTTTGATTCCATCCTTTGTCACGTAGTATCCCAGAAACTACCCTTCTTCTACCCCGAAGGTGTACTTTTCTGGGTTCAGCTTCATCTTAGCGTTTTCCAAGGTTTGCAATGTTTCCTCCATGCCGTGCAATAGTCTCTGTTCGTCCGGGATTTTGATGACCATGTCATCCACATAAACTTCGATGTTTATGCCGATTTGATTGGCAAACAGAGAGTCGACCAGGCGTTGGTAGGTCGCTCCAGCGTTCTTTAATCCAAATGGAATCTTTGTATAGCAGAAAGTGCCATGATTTGTGTAGAAAGCTATCTTTTCTTCGTCGCCTTTGTTCATTAGGATCTGGTGATATCCCTTGTATGCATCCAAGAAACATTTTCACTGGAACCCTTGTAGAGACTCCATCTTTTGGTCTATTTCCGGCAGGGGGTAGCAGTCTTTGGGGCACGCCTTATTGAGGTCCGAGTAGTCAATACACATGCGCCAACTACCATCATGTTTCTTTACCATTACCGGGTTGGCAATCCATGTTGGGAAAATCGCTTCCCTAAGGATCCCCGAGCTGGTCAACTTGGCTACTTCTACGTTGATTGCCTTGTTTCGGTCTCCTCCCTGGACTCACTTCTTTTGTTTTACCGCTTTATCCTATGGCTTTATCATTAGCTTGTGTTCTATGACTCCCCGATCGACCCCCACCATATATGTGGGTGTCCAGGCGAACACGTGTTTGTATTTTTGTAGCAGTTGGATCAACACTTGTGTTACTGTCGTGGGAAGGGCAGTTCCAACATTTACTTGTTGGCCTGGATATTCCCTGTTGATTATCTCCCTTCTGCTCAATGATTCTGGCTTCGGTCTCTTGGCCTCGGTTGAGATGTCCTTTGGTTGTATAATATCATAGCATTTGAGCTCCCTTGGAGGGGTGGCTAGGATTGTCCCCGGGCCCTGGCTCGTGCTGAACTTTACTATTCCATGAATCGTTGATGAGACCGCTCCAAATTTCAATAGGGCTGTCCGTCCTAGTATGACATTGTGCTCGTATGGGTGTCGTATGACCACGAAATGCACAAGGGCGGTCTGCCGCCTGGTCTTATCTTGACAAGTAAGCGTGAATGGTAAGTAAATCGTACCTAGGGGCCACAGGCTGTGCCCTGTGAGTCCTGTGAGTTGGCCTGCGGCTGATCGCAATCCTTCCTTCCATGCGTCCGGCGGCAGCCGAAAGAAATGTTCATAGATGATATATGCCGAACTCCCCGTGTCGACGTATACCCAGTGGATCATGATATCTCGAATGGACCCTTGGATGACAAGGGGTTGTCTCCTTTCCAATCGGTTGTGCTTGGGTCGGTCACAGAGAAAGTTAACCCTTGCAAGGTTTCTGTGATGCTGCGTACATTGGTTGTGCACTACACTCTCCCCTTTTTATGGTGGATCATGAGGATTTCTTGTCGATAGTCTGCCCCTCCTGTGTTGTCTTTAGGGTTTTCTGCATCAAAATTGGCTCGCAGACTTTTGGCAATTTCTATTACGTTTCCCTTCAACTGCTTTTCTTCCATTTCCCGTTTTAAGATGGAGAAGTTGACCGTGTCATGCGTCCTACTCTTGTGATATTCGCAATACCGTGCCTTAGTACCCTTTGTTGTTGGTTTTTTGGCGACAGTGTAAACTTATGCTTGTCTTCCTCACATATCGTCCCTGGTGAAGGGTCTGAACTATCCCTGTGGTCGCCTGTCTCGTCCCGGGAATCTCCCCCCCCCCCAGGAGTCGTGATGGGGGTTGGTTGGTGGTGCCATTTCCCGGGCGAGGAAGACATGGTGTTGAGGTATGCTTGCTTTGAAACTTCACCTTATTCTTGGCGTAGGAAACGTTCCACTCGCTCTTTTAGTTCCACCCTCGTCTGAGGTTGGTTGCCCATAAGATTTTGAGATAGCGAACCTGGCAGTAATCCCCAGGTAAACGCTCATTCAATTAACCCCTCTGGGACGTCAAGTGTTGCCTTGGTAAACCTGGCAATGTAGTCCTTGAATGTTTCCCCCTCCCTCTGCTTGCATCCGATAATTGAGTGGCAGTCACCTTTGTACTTCCGGAGTTGCATGAAGTTGGTTAAAAAGAGGTATTTCAGTTGGATAAAGTTGTTGATGCTACCACGGCGTAGCGTTTTGAACCATGTCCTTGCGATGCCGTCTAAAGTGATGGGGAAGTAAGTGCACCAGAACCGTTCATCCAGCTTGAGGGACGTCATCGTCCATTCGTATGTGTCGATGTGATTGTCCGAATCCGTGGTACCGTCATACGTTTTGAGGTGGGGTAGTTTGGCGGTGTTGGGGATTTTTTATTCCAGCAACTCTTTTACGAACGGTGATGTGACATTGCGTGAAAGGCAGTCTTGATTCGGTGTTCTTAGAGCAAAGTGGTACCCCGGTTGTTGCATTGCTAAGAAAGGTTGTACCAGCATGTTATTGTAAGCTGCAAGGTCTGGTGGTGTTGGGCCATAGAAGCTTGATGGTTGGAGTGGTTGGGAAACGGATGAGTTATGGGTATTTGGTAGGGTGTGAATGGCGGCGCCGAACTAGCAGTGGGTGATTTTGTGGTTGGAACATGACGCTTGTGCTAGTAGCGGTGTTATTCGTCGGTGTTTTGTGTGTGAGCGAGGGTATTCCGTTTAACGGTGGCGTTGGGGGAGTTTTTTGTCGTGGTTCGTTTGTGGTTTGGGCAGGTGGTGGTAAGTGGCTGTAACTGGCGCTGCTTAATCCACTGGTATTAGGAAAAAACGGCGGCATGGGAGGTGTAATGTACGGATTAGGTCCACCGTCGTTGGGGAACAGCGACGGGGTTGCGTAGTTTACAATGCGTATCGGTGTGCGGTTTTGAACTATGACAGACGACGTGGCTGCTGCAAGACCACCGGACGGTGGTGCCTCAGGAGCTGTGATGGTTGCCTGAGCTTGTGGTGTTGCTGGAGTGTTGGCTGTCTCTAATTATGCCATTGGGCGTATTAGGCTAGGTGGTGGTTCTGATGGCTCGTCGGCCGCTTCGTTTGTCATGTGTGGCTAGGTTAAAGAGGAAGAACTGGGTTTGTGTATCTGTTCTCACACAAATGGATGGCGCCAAATGATGCAACCCGGTCTCTGACCACCTGGGTGTTGAAAGTTGTGATCGCCGGAGAGATACCCGAGAGGTCACAAGGAGAGAAGTCCGTCAGCCGTTCTCCGGGAGGAGATCTCGGGAAAATGCTCCGACGGTCATGTTAGTGGGGTATAAGAGAGTAAGTGTTAAGAATTGGGAGAGATAGCTTACCTATCAAGGCATGATGGTCGTCCTTTTATACTGATGATCTTCCTCGATCCGTACGAGGGACAAGGACTTCGATCCCGAAAAGATTCACCGTCCTTATTGGTGAGTCGTGTTCCTCGTTGTGTCAGGTCCAACGATTGGTCCAGGTGATAATGCTCTGGATGTGCTCCTTGTCTCCTGGAGCCGTTATCCTTGGATTGTAAAGAGGACGACCTTCAACGAGGGCGAGCCTTCTCCGCGGTCGTCCTTCTAGGGCGCCTGACGGCTGAGGCGGCCGAGTCGCGCCTGACTGGGACTCGTTAAGGACTCCTCACCGGGAGCTTTCTTATTCCTGGCCCGCTCTGAGGGGCGTGTCATCAGATTCCTTATGTGCTTGTTATAAGTGTATGAGCTTTATGAACTGCATGCTAGTACTGATTAGTCAGTGATATGATGGCCTGATTAGGATATGCTTGATTATATTTACTCAATGCTCGAATGCTGCTTGCTTTGTGCTTTTAGGAGATCTAGTTATCTTTGAATAACTAGTAAACGAATATGTTAAGTTACATATTGCACGGACTAAATAGTTTTCAGAAGGTTAGGTTTGGCTCTATTTCGCAGCTCTTGTTTGAATCCAACCGTTGTAGGGTAGGACCTCTCATTTGAAGAATTATCTAGTCTTAGTGATATTTAATGGTATTTGCGAGCTAGTTAGGGGGAGATAGCAGGGACTTCTTATGCAGCTGATGGCGGAGAGTGGGTTGGTGATTACCCTAGGGCAAGCCTAGGATGACATTAGTGAGAGAACAGTTGTAGCAGTAGAAGGGACTTGGTGGAGTGAAGGCAGTTCTTAATGAAAGTACGGATAGATGTGGAAGGTAGTATCGGCCTGTACTACTGAAAGCAGAGGATTCGTACTCGAATCAAGGAAGGCTGAGATGAACCCAAGAATCTTGTAGTATGTGAGATCCCTCGAGTTATGATATGTATATTGATGTTTGTTATGGTGTATTTTCAGTATGGTGACGCTACGCACTAGGCTAGTCGGCAGTTCAGGTGCCGGTGAGGGATCAGGCTCCGGCTCTGGAGCCGGGCAGCTCGACGAGCAGATGAGAGAGTTGATCTCATCTGAGGTCACACGCAGTATTTTAGACCAGACTCCTGTGATCTTCGGGACGGTCAAGGAGGGCATCTTGGAGATACTTGATGAGAGGTTGGGTGCATTCCGTACCGATATGGCGGCCATGCTAGGGGCACGCATGATGAATTTCAGGGAGTTTAGAGCATGTGGAACTCCAGACTATCATGGGGCTCAGGACCCCATTGCTAGCAGCAGGTGGTTGGCTGATGTCGCCAACGCCTTCCGTACAAGCCGATGTCCCGAGGGGGACAAGGTCTGACTTGCTTCCTGTTTTCTGAAGGACAGAGCAGGTGACTGGTAGGAGGAGGTCGGACATGTCATTGGAGATGATGCAGCTTTAGATGCGATGACATGGAGTGACTTTTCGGCCAGGTTTAGGTCCGAGTTTGCACCTATGATTGGGGTGCAACAGCTTGCTAGGGAGTTCCAGGATCTCCAACAAACTACTGATACGGTGACCGAGATCACCGCTATGTTCAGGGAGAGGGCCCTTCTCGTTCCGCAGTACGTGGAGGACGATGAGATGAAAAAGGCTCGATACCATGAGATGTTGCAGAGTGATATCGGCCAGTTTGTGAGTCGATCCAGCTGCAAGATGTTGGAGGATATGATTGCGAGGGCTCGAGAGAGGGAGTTGGATTTGGAGATGGAGAAGAAGAGGAAACCCGAGGGGATTCAGTCAGGGAGTGCGGGCAAGAAGCCCAAGGTATCAGATCATTGACCGAGGAGCCAGCAGGGCCGCAGCCGCTAAGGCAAGTGCGGCAAGTTGCACGAGGGGCGTGTAGGGTGGGTAGTTCGGGCTGCTTCAAGTGCGGCCGAACTGGTCATGTTAGCAGGGACTGTACAGCTACCACCATGACCACGATAGTATCAGGTCTGATTTGCTTCCAGTGGAATCAGAGGGTACGCAAGCGGTCCCAGTGCCCGAGTTTAGCAGCAGCAGGGAAAGTGGCGTCACCCGCTCCTACTACCTTGAGGATTACCGACGGCCGCCAGGGCCAGGCAGAGGCGCCAATGGCGAAGAGCAGAGCCTTCCAGTTGACAGCAAAGGAGGCACGTGCAACTTCCGATGTGGTGACGGGTATGTATCTTCTCTTTATCTCTTTATTTATATTTATTGTTGCTTATTTTTATGTGTTTCCTTATAGGATCGTTCCTTGTGAACGATATATCTACACTGGTATTATTTGATTTGGGGGATACCCGATCTTTTATATCGCTCGCGCTCAACAGGCAGTTTGTGGGAGCTCCAGGGGAGCTAGACTGTCCACTAGATGTAGATATAGCATACGATAGGACTGTTCGGGTTGCGAGGGTTCATCGGGGATGTACACTATAGTTGTTTGATGAGCAGTTTTTAGTGGATTTAGTCCCTATTCCCCAATGAGGGAATAAGGTTATAGTGGGCATGGACTGGTTGAGCCCCAATGGGGAAGCGATCGACTGTGAGTAGCAGTTGGTGCGGGTTCGAACCCCCGGTGGGGGAGGTTTAGTGATTCAGGGCGAGAGGCCGCAGGGTGGACCAACTTTATGTTCAGCAGCGAGAGTGAGGCGTTACATTCAGCAGGGTTGCGTAGGTTATGTCGCCAATGTTATGGATACCCAGGATAAGGGTAAGGCGACCGTGGATGATGTACCGATCGTGCGGGAGTACCCGAACGTGTTCCCAGAGGATTTGCCTAGGATACCTTCGAAGAGACAGGTAGAGTTCAGGATTGACCTAGTCCCTGGTGCGGCTCCGATAGCCAAGGAACCGCGCCGGTTGGCTCCTCCTGAGATGCAGGAGTTGTCTACACAGCTGCATGAGCTGTTAGACAAGGGATTTATCAGGCTGAGCAGTTCGCCATGGGGAGCCCCGATCCTATTTGTGAAGAAGAAGGACGGGTCACATCGATATGTATAGATTACCGGGAGTTGAATAAGGTAACGGTGAAGAACCGTTATCCCCTCCCGAGTATTGATGACTTTTTTGACTAGCTTCATGGTGCATCTTGGTTCTCCAAGATTGATCTGCGATCGAGTTATCACCAGATGCGAGTCAGGGACGACGACGTGCCGAAGATAGCTCTTCGGACACGCTATGGTCACTATGAGTTCGTGGTGATGACGTTTGGGCTCACTAATGCTCCTGTCACGTTCATGGACCTCAAGAACTACGTGTGCAGACCGATGCTGGACTGGTCTGTGATAGTCTTCATTGATGGCATCTTGGTTTATTCCAAGACTTAGGAGCAGCATGAGGAGCACCTAAGGGAGGTGATGGACACACTGAGGAGGGAGAGACTTTTCGCAGAGTTATCCAAGTGTGAGTTATGGTTTACACGAGGTGCAATTTCTGGGGCACCTTGTCTACCAGAAGGGTATTCTGGTCGATCCGACCAAGATAGAGGTCGTGATGCAGTGGGAGTTTCCGAGGTCTCCATCTGAGATTCGGAGTTTTCTTGTTCTATCAGGTTACTATCGGAGATTCATATAGGATTTCTCCAAGATCGCAGTTCATATGTGTGACAACCGTCAAAATTTGAGTCGGTTCTAGGTTTGAATTGATGGGTTTTTTACAAACAATCCTATGTGTGCATGCAACCCTAGAGTTGGATCTATGTTTTCACTAT